TGGGAATGATATATACGTGTTTTTATGCACAATGCTACGACAAAAATCGGACTAAATGGGGAAATAAAACAACGTGATTTGCTGTAAGGAGAGCAAAGACAAGGCGGTCCGTGATTACTGAAGCAAACCTGCTACTGACCAAATTAGCTCTGAGGTGAATGTTAGTATAATTCTCTCTCTGAAGCGGAAAAGTCTGAGTTTCCATGTTTTCAGGTTTAAATTTGCAAACTGGCCTCGTGAAACGGACCCCAGATCTACATGTTTGATTACTAGAGCCAACTTAAACCCAACTGCTTCACCCTGAAAGTGACTCAAACTTTAAAGAACTAGAATCCTTTATTAATGAATTTTGGATCCATGATAAATAGAAAGTTTAATTAAATGATGATAAACTTTCTGTTTTCCTTCAGTTTAGCTCCCAACAGTAGAAATGATCAACTAAATGTTTCTCTCATTTTGATTTACCTTGTTTATAAACCCGACTTTAGAAAAACACGTAGTTCTGGTAACATTTAGGTTCTGCTGGACCTGGAACCATTCGGGCTGAAAGTTCTCTGTTGTTCCCCCCCCACAGGACGAGAACCACTCAGGGACTCTAGGTTACACCAACCCTCATCCGGACATTCAGGAGCCCCCTGCCCAGAGGGACACAGAGTGAGTCCTTCCTCCTGTTCTGGTTCCAGAGCAGAAGGTCTGGAGTCCTTTCTGACTGGTTCAGACTGGTTCAGACTGGTTCAGACTGGTTCAGACTGGTTCAGAGGGCCAGCAGGAACAGAGATGATGTTTTGTGGTTCTGTTCAGACTCTCCTTAGAATATTTTATGGTTCTAAACATAATGATTCAACCTTAAAGTTTCTGAAAGGCCCAGAAATGTAGCTAAAGCTGTAAAGAAAGAACAACCGTAGCAATTCAAACCATTAGTCTGTCGCCATCTGGTGGTGACAGCCTGTAACTAGTCTTGAGGTTGACTGACCTCAACACTGAGTGCTATTCTCACTATCAGTGGGACTGAGTGTCATGTTTCTGTTGGTGGTTTGAATCTTGTTTAGGAGCAACATTCTGACCCAGATCTCTGAAGATGAGTCTGAGATTTATTCTAGATCCTCCTCATTTACATCTCATCATGTGCCTCCTTGTGGTTGCAGTAGAAACTGCACCTTTAGTGCTGAACTTGAAGTCAACGTTTTAACCAATCAGGGGGTCTTATTGGGGGTCTCTGTTTCAGCTTCCTGGCCAACGGCAGCATAAGGAGCGCATCTAACCCTGTCCCTCAGGAGGAGGCTCCGCCCACCATCTCTGCAGAGCGGAAAGCACACACCCATCGACACACACAGGTCTCCTCACAAACACGCTGCACTACATCTACTCCGACATTCAT